GAGGCAGGAGACTGGCTTGAGCCCAGGAGTTGGAGGTTGCTGTGAGCGTGATGCCATGGCACTCTACCCAGAGGGATAGCTTGAGGCTCTGTCTCAAAAAAAAAAAGGAAAGCTGATGCTTCTGCAAGCAGCTGAGGCATGGCAAACCACCCTTACCAGATAGGGAAGGGTGGGAACATTCCCCAAATCCAAGTTCCCAGTGCCAACCAAGGGCAAGCCTTGCAAGTAGGCCTTTCTAAAGGTAACAATTTCAGGCCTGCTATGCTAACACTTTTCTGCACAGATACAAATCTTTTCTCAAAGTCCCAGGAACACATGAGTAGCTATTTCTGATAATCTTATATACCTTGTAACATTTAAGGGCTTCTTTAGAAGATGCTGCTAAAAATCCAGTAGCTAAAACGCTCAGAAGTAGACTGAAAATGGGTGGCTTTAGTCAATCTTATCTGTTCTCAGTGAACACTTCTTTCTGATATTAAGTGACAGTTACATTAAGCTTCCTTTCATCTCTTACCCAGAACTCCTCGGGCGGCACTGTCTAGGGTCCCTCCATGCCCAATTTTCAAAGTCTGCTTTTTCCTCTTGGTCCATTCTGGAGAAGGCATTCCAGCTTCTATAAAAATAATTGGGATGGAAAAAGATAGAGTAGGAGCTCCATAAACACGAGGGGGTTGGGGAGGGTGTTTTCAAAACAAAAAGTAACGTACAAACTTAACGTATTACGACTTTGACAACATTACTAGCAAAGAACAGATTTTAAAATGTACAGCCATCCCTAAATTACAAAGAAATAGTATTCCAAAATTATTAGCTATCTACAAACTAGAATTAGAATTCATTCTCTAAGAAAAGATATTTTTAAAAAGTGAGTAAATATCCAGGCTAACCGACAAAAATACAGTAAATTCTCAGTAGTAGCATGCTGTTAGAGAATGATGAAGTTGGTTTTAATGCAAAAAGCTAATTTTTAAAGTCCTCAATTTCCACTTCCAAATCTCTTCCATGTTCTAAGCTGGTACCTCAGCATACCTTAGTATGGGGGTACATCTCATACTAAGTTTCCAAACTACCTGTATTCAAGTTCCTCCCTTCTAATTGAAACTTCCAATCCATTAAGGAAGCTATTCTTAACAAAAGGTTATGTGGGATGGAGGTAACACTTAAGTTGCTTCTTAATTTCTCAAGCAATCTGGCTTATCTCATATTCCCGTCGTAAAGATAAAATGAAATAGGGTGGCGCCTATGGCTCAGTGAGTAGGGCGCCAGCCCCATATACCAAGGGTGGCAGGTTCAAACCTGGCCCCAGCCAAACTGCAACCAAAAAATAGCTGGGTGTTGTGGTGGGCACCTATAGGCCCAGCTACTCGGGAGACTGAGACAAAAGAATCGCTTAAGCTCAGGAGTTGGAGGTTGCTGTGAGCTGTGTGATGCCATGGCACTCTACCAAGGGCAACAAAGTGAAACTCTGCCTCAAAAAAAAAAAAAAAAAAAAAGATAAAATGAAATAATGTTACCTGAAAGTGTTCGGGAAACCACAAAACACTAGAGATTGTTGATGATGATGGCATCATTTACTGAGAGAATTCTAGCTACTGGACTTCACATGAGAATGGAGAGAAGAGTAGGAACTGCTGTACTGATCTATACCCACCCCAAACTCATCAAACCTACCTTATCACCACTGACACTGAGAAGACAAAAAAACAGAACCAACCAAATAAATAAATAAATGACAAAGAAAAGATAAGGAGAAAGCAAAGCAACAGTGGAAGAGGAGAAGCCAGATTAACTGGCCAAAGGGATTTGCTGGGTTGCTCAGCCTCTCACCATAATTAGTACTTCACTGAGTCAGAAACCGTCTCCGGGACACAGTCCTGGTGTCACTCCCTGATTACATCACCATGCCTGAAAGGACCTAGACTTCAAACATTGACCTAGACCAGCGGTTCTCAACCTATGGGTCATGACCCACATGAACTGTATTAAAGGGCCACAGCATTAGGAAGGTTGAGAACTACTGATCTAGACTCAGACTTGCAACCCATCACGATCTCTCATCCATGAATTTACAGAAACATTTTGGGGAATTCTTTGTATTTTCAACTTGACATTCCTTGAAGTATGAAGGCTTCATAAATACACTATCTTCCTCTTGTGTCCAGATTTACCTCCTTCTAACTTACAGACACATGGCCTCTACTACATTGGAATTTGGTTCACCCCACTGAACCAAACATTCATGAATATTATTAAAGTCTTTTCCAGCTATACAATTCTGGTATGCTGCAAGCCTTGAAGGATCCAAATAGACAATGAAAAGTGGGGGTTGTACTATGACAGAAATCAATCTATGGAAAGACAAGGAATGTTTAATTAGAGGCCATGACCATTGATTGCGGCCTAAATCGGTGGTCATGAGACATAACAGGCATCAGAATGAGGCATCTTGAAGAATCTTTCCAGGTAATTCTGACAATGAATTAGAATGACATCTGGGAAGCCCCGGTCTAGCCAACATAAATACCGAATAGGCCAATCACAGTTGTATATTCTAAACAATATTGAAATGGAGGATAATGAGAATGTCTACAGCTGAATGAGTGGCTTCTAGAAGGCGGCCTAATAACACCCTCAAGACAATCTGTTTTAACTAAGTTTAAACAAGAAACTTCAGTTCCTGTAGGCAGATTAGCCAGAAGTCCAGGATATGGCTTTGATTCTGTCAAAAATTTGTCTGAATCGATGGTAATTGCTATTTTGAGGAACAAAAAAGCCATACTTTAGCTAACAAATCAGGAATGCAGTAATTCTGTGAAGGTGAAAAGCTCTATGATGACACCACAATGCTTATATGCCTCACTTCCACATCTACCACATAACCCATTCTTACAGGCAACAAAGTATAAGTGAAGCATAACAAACAAGTAGGTACAACAATGGAATTAAAAATCTGCAAGAGTGTACCTATTTGCCAATAAACATTTACATCTATATTGTGCCAATTATAATTAACAAATTCCCATCACAATAATTTGGTTTTGCAATTGCACTTGTACCCCATGAATATATACAAATAAAAAATCATTTTCTAAAAAAGGAATAATTTGATTAAAAAAAAGTGTAAAGTGTGCCAGAGAATACTCAACAACTTAAGAAAGATCTTGTATTGGTTTAAAGGCAGGACAAGATAGTGCCAAACTCTGGACAACCTTGAATAACCTGGCTAAATAGTTTTGCCACTAAGACTGCAAAAATTAGCAGGCTGTGAGCTCAGTTAGGGGAAGAGATGGTCTCTTTCATCCTCACATCTCTACAGGCCGGCACAGATCGGACTTATGGCATGTGTCCAACAAATCTAGGTTCCTTGATGCCTCTGTGTGAAATGATGTACTGGGTTGATGAACTGTGTGATTCTTCTGGCTTTGCTACTATCTTTCCAGTGTATATGAATAAACAAATTAAAGAATGCACTTAGAGAAGTTATCAAGTTACATTTACTGTTCCTCAAAATGTGGTCCGTAGACTACTTATACTAGTAGCACTGGAGCAACTGTTTCAAAATGCAATTTCCCAAAAACATCCCCGACACTAAGAATCACAATCTGACAGGGCAGGGATTAGGAGTTTGCATTTGTGTAAGAGAACTTAAGTAATTCTTATGCCCACTAAAATGTGGGAAAACAGTGTATTAAGTCTTAGCAAAGTATATTATCTGCATTCACAATGTATTTTTAAAAATGCAACTTTTAGAGTACAGAGCCAGAGCTTCCTATAGGTTGGGTCCATCCACAGGAACCAAATAAGGCCTCTTAAGAGATCCGATTACAGAAAATTGGTCCGCATGACCAAGGGCCACGGTTTATTGTGTAAGTATTGAAAAATACAACTGCCAAGAAGGCTACAGGAGTTCACGCCAGGGCAAGTCCAAGCCTGAGAGGCCCCAGATTTCAGTGCAGAGCTAATTCAGTGATCGTTCTCCCTTTCCCTTCCTGTGATCTCTTGAGCCATGAGCATCGCAAAAGGCTCAAAATGCTCCCCTCTCGCGTCGACTGCCTCACCCTGGTCCCCATCCGGGCCGCAGTACCTGCCAGCAGTTTTTCCTTCAACCGATTCAACAGCTCGGCTGAAGTGGGCCCTTTGGGCTTGTGCACGGCGAACACGCCGCTCAGGGACAGCAGCTTAGTAGCTAAAGCGGCCTTGGAGACCCTAGCTTCGGATCCGGTCCTGGCCGCGGCCGCAACTGCCGCCGCTGCAGCCGTAGCTGAAGAGGTCGCAGCCATTCCTGCGGCTGTTCCTGCAGTTTCAGGGACTGGGACAGTGTCTACCTTCAAAGCCGACGATAACACCGCCACCGCCCCGGTAGCGGCCATGCCTTCTGTAAGCAGACCTATTTTTCATTCTGGAGGCGTGCGCTGATGACGCAAAGAGCGCGCCTGACCTATCCTTCCCGCCGAAGGGTCGCAAGGGTTTCTGGGGATTGTAGTTCATAGCTTTCCTATTCGAGCCAAAGTTTTGTGCTGTGAGAGTTCTGGGGGAGTCCTTTTTCTCCTAAAACCCGTTTTTTACGTAGGCTTAGTTCCGTGCTTCAGGGGGTAATTTAGAGTTGCAGTCCTAAACTTTCGACCCCAAATACCAAGTCTGTATATTTTAGGGAAGAAATCTCTTCATATCCGGTAGCATCCCCATCTCGGGAACTAAGAGGACCCAACACCCAAGAATAAAAAACTAAAAATAGTGACTTTTGTTGTGGCTTGCAAAGATCCATGGCTCCCTGCGCTGACTGGTTTATTCGATCTATTGTGCTCTTGGATGCACGGTTTAGAATTAAAATATATCCAGATGTAAGTTCTATTGGACCAAGGAACCTCTTATCTTGTTCACTGCGGTATCTCAAATGCCTCACACCTACTGTTGGAGACAGAGTCTCAAGATGTTGCCCTCAGTAGAGTGCTGTGGCGTCACAGCTCACAGCAACCTCAAACTCTTGAGCTTAAGCAATTCTCTTGCCTCAGCCTCCCAAGTAGCTGGGACTACAGGCGCCTGCCACAGTGCCCAGCTATTTTTTGGTTGTAGTTGTCATTGTTGTTTGGCAGGCCGGGGCTGGATTAGAACCCGCCAGTTCTGGTGTACGTGGCCCTAGTCGCTGCACTACAGGCACCGAGTCAGTGCTGATTTTTAATACTACCTCTTCTGAGTTTTGTATTCCTCAGTACACATTGCTTAGGTATCAAAAGACGTTATTGCAATTCACAAACTTAAACTACTTTAAATTTGAGAACTTTTCTCTAAAAGTCACTCACTTACCAACAAAATTGAGGAACATTGTTTTGATCCTAGCACAAGGCAAAATGGAGAAAAATTTTTCATTGTACTTCTGCTTCAGATACATTAAATGCTATCATGAGTACTGTGAGACAGATAAAGTTCATCCTTACTGTTCTCCCGGTTTCCTTACAGCCAGATTTTCTCATCATCCTTTTCAACATTAATATCTAGTATCCTAACGATGCCTCTTACCTGCTCAGAATAAACAATGATGGACCTCCATTTGAAATTGCTCCCATTGATGCAACAAACCCTTGAAAAATCAATCATTTCAAATACAATATTTATTTCTTCTTGTATTTTCTCCCTTTCTCATTTCAATAAGATCACCAGACTCTAATTACATTTTTGTCTGGGGCACACAACGAGGTAAATGTATGTAATGCCATACCACCATACACTTAAGTTGGTAAATGGGAATTTTTTTTTTTTTTGAGGGCTATTTTACGGAATGGAAAGCTGGAAGTCACCTGCGCTCGTGATCTTATTAGAAAAGCCTAAGTGAACTGAAAAGTTTAGAGGTCTAGAAGGCCAAAAGAGAAGAAAATTGTTTTGCTAATAGCAGAGAGAAACCAAAAGATTGGCATTGTCACATGATTAGCGGAGGGAATAGCGGCACCTGAGGAGCAAGGTATCTTTTAGCCTCAGCAAAGATTGCTGTGTTCTCTTTAGGTCCGTCTGGACGTTCCTTGGTTCCCCGGTTCCAAGTGTAGAGTGAGAACTGGTACTGAGCTGAATCAGTGACTGAGTGGGCCCAGATACAGAACAGTCTAACACAGGTTATTACAGGAAAAAGAAAGAAGGTGTACAAAATGAAAGTGAAGAAGGAAGCTACACAAAACGGCACAAAGTGAAAATCCTGTCTCAGAGAAAGAGGAACAGGTCACTCTTTAGGGAGTGAAGACCCTTTTATATGCTCACTAGTTAGTCCCACCTTTCTCCTGGCAGGATTGGGTGTTGTTTCCACCTTCTGTGGTGATTGACAAGTTGGGGGTCATATAACAGATTAAATAAGTTACATAATAAGATTAAATAAGTTACATTGCATACTTATGTTACATAATTACATAATAAGTTAGTTATATAACAGTTTCCCTTTCTATGCATGCATCTTCCCCAGAATTCTTCAGGGAAGCTACACCTGTGCTATGCTAATTAGATGCTAATGAGATCTAAGTTAGTTAAAGGTCTCTAGGAACTCCTTCCCATGTATGTTCCCACTAGGGAACAGTTCCTAGCCGCAATTTGGTTCCTACCCACAATTCAGTCCCAGCTGTCTGCGCTTGGGCGCTTCCTTGCCACCTGTTTATCTTCCACTAGACCTAATGCCCTTAACATACAAGCAGAAAGTCAGGGACTTGAAGGGACGGTTACAGGCATGAATGATGATGACATCGAGATTGGAGACCTTTTCTCAAACAGACATCAGCAAGCTTCCCGAATTCTCCTGTGACTCTGAAGTAGAAGATGCAGAGAGGGCAGAATTAGGGATGACAAATAATGCTTACATTTGAATTCTCCATAAGCTCAGCTCAGAACGAGACTCATTTGATTTTAAAAAGACCTCGTATGCGGAGGGTGGTGAGTTCAAACCTGGTCCTGGCCAATATTGCAGTTAAAAAAAAAAAAGAATTACATGGAAAAAAAGAAAGAAAGAAATGGATATATCTTGCACATTTGATTTGTGGGAAGCTAGGGTACAACAAAATTAATTCTGCTCTGCTATGGAATTTGCATTCTTAGCATCCGAAGCACCCAGCTCTAATTTTCTAAGGTCACCACTGTCTTTCATATTGGGCAAGCCTTGAATTCACAGGTCATCTTACTTAACACATGTATGAGTTAGGACTCTTTGGTTAGAAGGAGCAGGACCCGATTCAGACCAGCTTGGGGGTGGATGGTGGAGAATGTATCAGACGCACACTGGAATACTATTCGGAAGCTGAGATGTGCTCCCTCTCCTCTCTCTCTGTCTCTCTCTCTCCCTTTCTCTGTCTCTCCCCTCTCCCACCTTCCCCCCTTTTCTATCTTTCTGACTGCATATCTTTCTTGATTTATGACATCTTCATTCTTTTCTCTTCTAACAGACATTTTTATCTACTCCTTGTTCCATATCCTTGTTTTAAACCTGTACCAAGGTCTTGAGAAAAGCATAGTTTTTAAAAGTTTGGAGAAAAAGATGGACATGTGCCATCTTTCCATGATTTCCATCATGAAATTTGAGAGAGCTGGAAAACTCTATAAAAATCTCCTATTTACACAATTCAAAAGCATCCTAATAAGGAATAAAATGGTGAAGTAATTAAAGAAACTAGTGTTTGGTTGTACAAGGAACTCTTGCTGTGAGCTGAGGAGTCTAAAGGAAATATAATATGGTACCTTTAAAAGCAGGCTTCTAAAATATTTGTCTTTCTAAGATATAAGTATCTGTAATGTTTTAATTTTAACCATACATTCTTTTTTTAATTAGGAAAATAGTAGCTATAAAATAAATCTTAAAATTAAGCACAGAATGTGGGGGGTGTGTGTGTGTGTGTGTTTTAAGGCAGGCTAGATAATAAAAGGCTAGAAATTATCACAAACACATAGGGGTATGGCCAGAAAACCTAATATCCAAAGGATTTGAGATAAGGAAAAAAAATCCCAGAGATGGTAAAAGAAAACAAAAATGAACTTTGAAAATATGAGTAGATCAAAAGAAAGAAAGAAAAGATCAAAAAAAAAGATAGATACACTGCTTAATAAAGGTATTTTATCTCCCACTTTCCCTGTCTTCTCCATCAAAGAAAATGATTTTTGGATGGAAATCAGGACAGCAAACAATTGACAAGAAGAGAATGACGTCTATGAGAGTGCAAAGATTTTAAGAGGACATCCCCCTGTAGTAAGTGAGGTTGGATCTTCTGGTCCTGGCAATCTTGTACTGGGTGGAATGGGGAAATAACAGAGCTTGCCAAGAGATTGCCTAAAGGAACAAACTTTTGTTAAGTAGTTGTTATGTTTTGACATTTAGCATTTTCTTCAGTGTTTCTAGTAACTCTCAAGTTATGTTTGTGGATAAAATAAAGCGTAGACGGGGTGCTGGAACCTCACAAAAGGAAGGTATTATTATTTTTATCCCCTGTTTTACAAGTCAGGAAACTAAAACTAAATGAGGTTAGATAATTTGATCAAGGACACGTAGCTAGCATAGAGTAAGTGGATGTGTCAGGAGTCTTCAAGAAACCACAGCCTGGATTCACTAGAAAGACTGGAGGGTTCAGAAAAGCTATCATACTCATGGCTACAGTTTGTTTTAGTGAAAGGATACAAATTAAAATCAACAAAAGGAAAAGGTATATGAATAAAGTCAGTGGAGTCACATGCATAGCATTTAATTCTCCTTCCATAGCAGTGAAGTGTGACATATGAGAAGTGTTGCCAATCAAGGACGATCACCTGAGCCTTGATGTCCCGAGTTTTTATTGGGTATCAGTCATGTAGACACAGTGCCTGCATGACTGACATTAGCCACTCAGTCTCTAGTCTCAGAGGTTAAATTGATATAGCAGTGGCCCACAAAAGCATTCTTGGGCTAGATGAGGTGGCTCACACTTGTAATTCTATCATTTTGAAAGGCTAAGACAGGAGGATTGCTTGAGGCCTGGAGTTCAAGATCAGGCTGAGCAAGAGTGAGACTCCATCTCTACAAAAAATAGAAAAATGAGCTAGATATGGGTGAGTACCTGTAGTCCCGCCTATTGGGGAGGCTGAGGCAAAAGGATTGCTTGAGCCCAGGAATTCAAGGTTGCAGGGAACTATGATGATGCCACCATAGCCTGGCAGAGAACGTGTCTCAAAAAATAATAATAATTCTTATCAAGCAGGACATTTCAAAGGCTCAGAAGTTGTCTCTGAGGAGGCATCAAAAGGCTAGTTTTTTCTTTGGAATGCACAGAGTTTGAGTATCCCAAGCTTGCTGGGTTAACCCTTTACTGGACAGTAGATAAGCTGTCACCAGAGTTGCCTCACTCCAAGTCCTTCTAAGTCTGCTACAACTACTGCAAAAGATCCTGCAGGAATAATGGAGATCTACTTCTGGAATAATTCCAGAAGACACAATTTGGGTATATA